ATGCTCTAAAACCCCCCGAAACATTGCTCAGGGACACTCCTGTTAAAACGCCAGGTGACAACCCAGGTGGGAGAAGCTCTTGGCGAGCAGAGCAAGAAGCCAAAATGAGTGCAGCAATGTGAAGAAAATAAGATAGAATTTTGCAACTTAACTGCGTGCAATTAAGTGCGCAGGAACAGAGGAAATGCTCCCCCTCCACCTGAAAGTGGCTGGGAGTGACAAGCTGAATTGCAAGACCAGGAGAAGGAAACCAGGAATGGTGAACTGGCTCTTCCAAGGAAATCCAGGCAGCAGACAGCAACCCCACAGGCCTGGGGCCAGCAAACACGGACCCACAGGCAAGGGCTGGAGGAACCAGGGCTCTGCAGCGCAGGAGGGCAGAGGGACACAGGGCCTTGAGCGAGGGGCTTAAAGCTACACTGAAGAAGAACCAGGAAAAGAGCTTCTCCACAGCCATGCCATGCTGCCAGTTATCCTTCTTTAAATCTTCCAAACGTTCATGTGTTGGCAAATAAAGTTCATCTCTGTTCAACAACCACATTTACAACCTTGGCACTAAGACAGATGCACCCAATTCAGGGTTATTTCCTCCCAGCCAAAGGCCAAGGAATGGAAGTCAGGAGGTGCCACCTTGCAGCAGGAGATGCCTCCACAGATGCCCCAGGGATGCCCTGCTAGGGTTGAGCATCAGCCCCATAGGACCCATATCTTGCCCCAAAGGAGCCAGGGCAGTTGGAAACATGCCCCAAGAGATGAGACAGTCAAATATGAGCCCCCTAAGTGCCAGATTTTAGATGTCATTTTTCAGGGGAACCCAAAGGACTCCCCAAAAAGGATGCTCACGGCCACAGACTGGTGCTGGATGCTAGCAAAGGAGAGAGCACAGGGAGGTGTGTGGACCTCCAGAGACCAGCAGCTTGTTCCCCAGCATTATGGAAATGAGAGGCACAGCACTGCAAAAAGCTCCAGGCACATTCCCAACATGCTTGCAGCTGGTGGACAGCTGACAGGAGAATCCCTCAATGGACCTGAGAAAGCAGAAAGTGCCCACTTTCCAGGGCACCCTGCAAAACAGCTAAGGATGCAACCAGGAGCATCTCTCCACAGTGCCCAGCAGCAGCCATCCCACAACCCCCCTCATTCACCTCCTCCAGAGCCTGCTGGCTGCCCTGGCTTTAATCCCACAGGCAGCATCATCCTAATAATTTCCTCCATTTTCAATCTACTTCCCTTCATTTTCAATCCACTGATCTGGGGGCAGTCCACAAATCCCTTCATTCTGAGAGTGAAGCAATCTACTGCTTCATCTCATCCCATCTCCATTTCTCTAATCCCTGGAAACAGGAATGAGGTTCGGAGCACGTGGGCTGCCCCGGAGCAGTCTGTCCAGGCACTGCTGGACAGAAACATGGGGGGCTGGGGCTACTCTCATGAATGCCACCCAACTTCCCAAAGCACCTGGGGCAGTTCCAAGCCCCTCCTGATCCAGGGATGGGGGAATAGGTCTTCCCACTCTCCCCAGCTGCCATGCTAGGGACATAAGGGACAGATTAGGTGCAGCACAGAAACATGTGGGGATCAATCAAGGGTGATGGGGGGAGTTACAAACATCCTGGTCCCATCAATCCCGGTCGAATCCAGTACTCCTTGTCCGCAATCCCAAACCCATGACCTTCCCCCCGGCCATAGATGCTCTTTGGGAATGGTAGACTGATCAGTGGGAAATGGGAGTCTTGTTTCTGCCTTCCCTGGAGCAGCGACCCAGCACCCTGAGGGGCTCGGTCGGGATGCAGGCTGACCCCATCCCTCCTTTGCCAAGCCCCCACTGGAGCAGGGCTGGAGGAGGCAGAACCAGGGGATCCCACACCCATGGCCACCACAGGGCCATGTCCCACCCGACACTGCCCCCAGCCCAAAGGAAGGGGCGGCAGGGCCGTGTGTGACAGGGCTGCGTGGTGGCCGTGCTGGGCTGTGCTGTCCCCATCCTGCGCAGTACTGGCTCTCCCTGCTCCAGCTGGCGAGGAGGAGGATGGGGGCCCTCGGCATCCGGGGATGGATCGCCAGCGTGCTGCGCTCAGACCCTGACAGCAGGCTCCAAAACTGTCACTCCCGATCTGTTTTCACTTCAGCTAAACCTCAGCCCCAATTACAATCAAGGAGAGCCGCCTCTCCTTTCCCCTTCTCCCTGTGGTAGGTCCTCTGTAACCTCGGGTCTCAATGCTGAGCCAAACCCCAGCCAGGGAATGGGTGAACTGGCTCTGCTGGGAAATGGGGCTGCTGGAGATGGGGTCACGACTGCCCCTGTCCCCAGGCCTGGCCCTGGAAGTGAGGGCACACCCACTGCAGTGGTTGCATCCCTGAAGGGCCGTGGGTCTGTCAAAATCCATGGGGGATGCACCTCTGATATCACCAATGCCACAACCAGCCTCTGCCATGGATGTTATCCAGCTCCAAGGTTGCATCCATGGGATGGAGGGGGTTTGGTGGCAGTAGGGTGCCCCCACTGCCTGCTGCCAGCTCACTTAGCAACCCCCAAATTAAATAAATAAATTAAACCAGATCTGTGTGTGTGCATGCGATCACAGCACCAGGATGGATGTGTTCAGCAGAAAGCTGGGAAATGCTCAGCGGATGGAGACAGCCCTCATCGACTGGGGAAGCTTTCAGATTCCCTTTCCAACTGAGCTGGCCACAAAGCAGGTGCGGAGAACCATCGGACTCCCGCCATGGGGGCTGTCACCCATCCTCGCGCTGCAGGACTGGGGGGCTCAAGGGCAGAGGTGCCACCCTGCGGGTTTGGGGACCGTCCCCTGCTCTCCACAGGCACACAAAGCCTGCAGTCAGGGCTCCCAGGGCTCCACTACCACGGGATCAAGCTCATCCCAGCGTGCCAGGCACGTTCCGCCCACAGCACGGAGAGCCATGCCGCCAGCAAGGTGCCCTCTCCGCCTGCTCCGCAGCAAACACCCATTTTCCAAGAGGGAGTCTGGAAAAAGCAACTGATCCCCTGGGAAAAGCAATCCTGGGACCACCAAAGCAGCACGGCTGGCTGGCACCCAGGGGAGTATCCCCCAAGGTGGCCAGTGAGCAGTTCCCCGTGGCCCCCAGTCCACCACTGAGGGATTTGCTCCATCCGCCAGCGATCCCAACAGCATTCCTCTTCCCGCATCCCACGCCACACTCTAGCAGCTTCACCAATGCTATTTTGAAAGTATTGAAATAATGTTGGAGGCACTTATAAAGAGATTTGTCCCAGCAGCCTTTTGTCCCCACCTCAAAATGACCATTTTTCTTTGAAGGAATAAGCGTCCTCTTAATGCAGCAAGATTAAAAGAACATTTCCTGCAGTTGTTTCTCAAGAAGAAAAATTTGCTTTTGTGTCTGAGAACGCTGAAAATGTTTATATAAACAAATCCCTAAAAGAAAGGGGGAAGTCTGAGATTAAGTGCTTTGGAAATATTACCAAGTTATTCTAGAATTCTGTATTAAGAGCAAAATGCCAGCTATTAGGAAAGAATGCCTACTGTTTTTTTTTTTTAATTCAGGGTTGGGTTTCTGTATCAAAATGCAGCCTAGCGTCTGTCCTTGCATCTGTCAAAACAAAGGTCAATCATTTTATGGAAACTTAAACACAATGTCCTTGAGCTACTGTTTTTTTCTTGTTTATTTTTAAGCTGGACGTGACTTCCAATTAATAAAATCAGACTTTTTAAGATGGTTCACATTCAAATCGCATTATCCCAGAAATCTCAGATTATGAGAAAAACATATCTGAGAATATTTTTCCTTTATAGTATGGAGATGATAATTTGGGGTTGATTTCAACAGCTTTTAAGTACTCTACAACATTTGACACTAATATTTCACTTTTCTACTTACAAAGAGATCATGAAACCAAGCAAAATACAACAGAAACATGACAGTTTCAGGAAGAATTTTGACACCCTTTTTAAGGAAAATGGGTATCTGAGGGCAAACAGAAAAAAAAGCGAGCATCATAATAAAAGGGATTCCTCTCTCTGAATCAAATTTCCCCAGCAAAAGGAAAGAAAATGAATGAAAATAGGATGGAATTAAATAATAAGAATATTTACAGCATTAAAAATTAATGGATGTAGAATGGAAATAGAAATATTTTTTAAAAATACTGGAACTAGAATGGAATTCAAAATAAAAATATTTAAAGTTTGGAAATATACTGGAACTAAAAAGTAGAAATATCTAAAACCAAACAAAACAAAATAACAGAAGGTAAAAATCAAATTAATCAGGGTTGGGGGTTTTATTATTAGCCACACTAAGACATGATTATTTTATTGTTCATTGTTATTTTAGTGTCCATTCCTTGAAGGCGATTCCATTCGTGCCATTCCCATCCAAGAGCACACACAAGTGACACTGTCCAAAGCCTGACCTGCAAATCACGGAATTTAGGAAGAGCTGGATATTCTGGTTAAGGAAGAGATGGATGCCTCCCTACCCACGGCGGCACTGGCTGCTGGGCATGGGTAAAATGAAATTTAACTAAAATAACTAATTTAACTATTTAATAAATAATTTAACTAAAGTGCACGCTTCGAGAACGATGATTTTGCAAAACAAAGTTGCAACAAGATTTGCCAAATTTAACTCACAAAAAATATTTGGAATTTTTTTTTTTTTTTGCAAAAACAAAACCAAAAAGATAATTGGCAAAATAATTTCCCACAAATATTTTGGGAATTTCTCCTAGGAGAGACTTGGGGAACAGCTGCTAACTTAAGGGAATCCCATTGCCTGCACGCTGATGTCTCCCACAATCCCACCTCACACTGCCACAGATGTAAATTTCCTCCAGGAGAGATTCCCTTAAAACTGCTCCTAAGCACACAAAGCTCTTCCAACCCACACCAGAGCCCAGGACCCGGCTCATTCCAGGACTCTTCCCTGACTTACACTGGTGGGAAAAGTTGCCCGCTGCGGGTGGTCTTCCACCAAGACAATCTGTTAAATCTCCTTACCTTTCCCAAAGAACCGCTCTCGTGCTGCTTTGGCGGGAGGGGGATCCAGACAGAGGGCCAGTCTTTTCACGTTTGGAAAGGATGAAAAATGCTACAGGGGGGAAGAAAAAATCCCAGTGATTTTTTTCTTATTCCGCTGTTCAGCGCAGAAGGGCTCCCAACCTCATTGGCCCTGGGAGATCCACCACGTGGCACGGGATGAAGGGCACGTGACCTATTTTCTCCCAAATCCCTGGGTTTGCTGGAAAGGGGGATGCACCCACTGCTGATGCTCTTGTCATTTCATGGACTTTGATTTATTTATTTATTTTTATTTTTTTTTTTTAAGGCCACTGAGCAAATCTGGATGCCCTGAGGTGATGAGGGCGAACCAGCCAACACTTCCAACACAAAGGAGAAAGGATCTCAGCATCAGATGAGCTCTGGTGCGCTGCCTGTGTGCAGGGGGAATTTTAGGCATGTTTTAGAGGGTTTCTGCCCACCCAGTGCAGGGCCAGAGCCTCCAGGAGGGACAGGAGGGCTGTGCCAAACCCTCCATCTCAGAGGCAGCAGCACAGTGGGAAGGAGCAGGCTGAAGCCCTGCCTGCACATCCCAGAGTTCAGCTGGCTCCCTGTAGGAAGCGGGTACGTTACAACTGCTCCATCACCCCAACCAGATGATCTCGTGCCCCAATGCTGCTCCTGACCCCTCCTCAGCTGTGCCCATCCTCTGCTGCCCTCCTGGCTGACGCACCCAACAACTGCTCCAAAAGATGACAAGCTCCTCCTCTGCAGGCTGCTGGAACAGCTTTCTGGGAAGCTGGACCACGAGCAGGGAGGGAGCGTGGCACACGCCAGGTGGGCACTGCCCGCTCCCACCAACCCTTGGCCACACCAGGCCCAAAAGGTGTTTCAGTGTCCCGCCCCATAGACACTCACCCAGCCCAAAATGCAGCACAATTCTGGGCATCCCAAAAAGATCCCCAAGACTCTGTGGAGCAAAGAAAGCCAAGCCACTGCTCTCAGTGTCTGATTTTGACTGGTGCTGGGGGTGTCCCCTTGTCCCAGCTCTGAGCCACCACATCCCAGCTGGCCATGGTCCACAGGCCAAGCATCTCCTGTCCTTCCCTCAGTAGCCAGGGCAGGTACAAGCCCTTTGGTGTCCACACATTCCGTTTGGGGAAGGGAAAAGGAATTTTTGGAGCCCCAGATAGCCTCATGTTTTGTCCATCAGAGCTCAAGCTAGTTGGACTAGCCAGAAGAGGCATTTTTCTGGCAACTCAAGTCTCCACTGGTCTGTGCCAACTCTTGGCTGTGCCATCTTTCCATGCCACACCTGTTCACCTGAAAGCCACGGTCAAATCCACCTTGGGCATCTACCCGTGGCAGAGCCCTTCTGCAGAGCAGCTGTCCCCAGCCACCCCATCACCCAAGGGCTCAAGACCTTTTATCCAGGGGGGGCACCTAAGGCTCCTGGGAGGACCAGCTGAGCTTGGTGAAGCAGCCGTGGGCACCTCCAGCCCTTCTTGGCATCACCACTGTGTTCCAAATGTTGGTTCTTCCTTGCAGATGTTCCCCTTCCACAGCTCTGCACAGAGATGGGAAGCATGAGAACCATAGCCTCTAATTCCAGATTCTTCCTGAGGCCAGACTGTCTCACCATGCTGTTCCCAAAACCACAAGTACAGCCATAAAAGGCCTCAAACAGTGTAGAAAAGTGCAGGGTTTCACCCAAATCCTCTCTGGCTCAGAGGGTCACGCTCCTGCCAGATCATGGACGCTCAATTCCAATAAATACACACTGAGGGAGAAACTTTCCACACTAAAATTTTCAAATGCAAACTATGGCCACAGCCTAAAGCACCATCTCATCGCTTGCCCCTCCCATGTTTTCTGATGGCCACAGAGAAGAAACCTGAGCACCCTGGGATAGTGGAAGGTGTCCCTACCCATGACAGGGGTTTGGAACGAGATGACCTTCAAGGTCCCTTCCAACCCAAAGCATTCCATGATTCTGTGGTTCCATGAACCTCCACCCCATCTTTCAGCCCCCTCCTCCTTTCCTAGCAAAGCTAAAGCTGGGTCCCCAGTAATCTTCCCAATAATTATATAATAGAGAGGCAGTGGATAAATCATTTCAGGCCACTGTGCCGACAGAAAGCAAGCTGGATTAAAAGATCAGAACAAGCAATACTTAGATTAAAATGGTTTGTTATTTTCAGCTGCAGGAAAAAATCTGTGGCCAAAGCACAGAAGACGCGAAGCTAAGGCGCATCATCTTCTTTCCCCAAAACCTGAACTTTTTGCAGATATGCCAAAACAAGTTCTAAGTGTCCAACCTCAAATCAGGTTTTGCTTCCCAACTGCTAAAATACGCACTTTGCCAGTTCACATGACATTTTAGCTAAAGATTAAGAGATGCTTCAAGTGGAATTTTGCCCATGTGAAGCCATCAGAGCCCTTAACTCAGGAGAACCAGTGCATGGCTTGGCAGATAACGTCACTGCCTACAAAAAATGTGGCTCCTGGCAAGATGGGCACCAACCCCTTTCCCTTGCCCCGTGCCTCCCCACAGCCCCGAGCTGATGGCAGGCGCTTGCCAGGCTTACCGGCAGTGCAGAGGCGGCAGTGGCAACAGGGAGAAGCCCATCAGACAGTGGGATGGCTCTCCACCGGGACCTATATGTTGTCCCCCTAGCCCCCAGCAAGGTCAGCGGCCCGGGGTGCTATGCTCTGACTGATGGCTTTGGAAGGGCGTGAAGGGGAGGCAGGAACAAAAGGGGGAGAGAGGGAGGTGGTGCTGGGGGCTGAGCTCTCTGCAGGGCATGGCGCTCATCAGCCCAGTTTGGATCGATTGGTGATTCACCTTCAAGTTCAGATTGAGCAGAAGGGTCAAACTGGGAAATGGTTTGGCACTGGCAGGCACGTCCCCATCACCACCCTGCAGCCTCATGTCACAGCTGTTTGCCTTGCTGGAATGGACAATTCCCACCCGACAGCATCTCCAGAATCAGCATTCCCACCTGAGCACATTGCTAACCCTGTAGCATCAGCAGTGACCACTCATCCCATCACCTGGATGGGAGATGGAGCAGCAGGTTTTTCAGAGTAAAGTACCAGAACATCCTAAGTTGGAAAGGATCCACAAGGATCATTGAGGCCAGGTCCTGGCCCTGCACAGGACAATGCCCACAATCCCACCTTGTGCTCTTCCAGGTGTCTCTCCCAGCTGTAGTTTTGCTATAAAAATGTCACGGTACCACAAACACAGGATCTGCCTGGGGTTCCGACAATGGAATCCCATGGGGCAAGAGGTCGAAGACACAGCCTTGGGGAGGGCCTGGACAGAGACAAGCACCAGGCTCCTCTCCCTCCTGTGGATGCAGGAGAGACCTGGGAGAAGGGATAGGATGGTAGGTAGGGAGCATGAGAAGGCAGAAAAGTTATGTCAGAGGCCTTACCAGAGGGAGATGGGAGTATGAGATGTTGTGATGTTCACCAAAATTCCACTTAATATTGTAGGAAAGTGTATTCACTAAAGCCAGAGAACAAAACACACTTGCTGGACAGGTGATGGTGGAAACTCAGACCAAACACAACCAGTACCCACCACATCAACAGAGGCCATGGGTAAACCTCCTCAGAGTTTTCTTTGGCAAGTTCTATCCTTGCTGCACCTCACTGGGTCACCTGCGGCTCCACTGGGAAGCCTCCATCCCCCTATCCAAAACCCACCCTTGTGCTGCAGGTGCAGGCTGTTTGCTCTGGCCAGTCTCTCCCGATGTTTTCCAGGCAGAAAACAGGGATAAGTGACACTCATAAAAGGAATGGGAGAAGAGAAATGGGTTTGTCTGTCGGTACATTTCTGCTTTATGGAGCTGTCTTCTCCCTCGGAGACACTCATCCTCCCCTCCGCTAATGGAAACGCTGCCCTGCCATCCATTCGTGCCAGTCAATGCCTGGGACAACACGATGGCCTAGGGCCACTCCGGATCTATTTTAGTCACAAAAGCAGAGTGGTTGATGAAAATCACTCCATCTCTGCACTTCCCAGCTTAGCTCTTTTGCTGGTTTTAATGGAATGGCCAGCGTGGCGGAAAGCAGGCGGCAAGGGCGGAGACGGCGGGTTGAGAGATCTGCACAGATGCAGGAGAGGGAGAGAGGCCCCAGCACCCTCCCTGGGGGTGCTTTACAGCCTGAGGGACCTGCAAAGATCACTCCTCCCAAGATTTGCCCAGAGAAGCTGTTGCTGCCCTGTCCCTGAAGTGTTCTGGGCCAGGTTGGACGGGGCCTGTGGAAGTGTCCCCATGGAACAAGATGAGCTTTAAGGCCCCTTCCAATCTGAGCCATTCTGGGATTGTATGACTTGGAAAGGATCTTACCTTACCCTAGAGGATGGCCTCAAGCTCCAGAGTGATTCCTGGGAAGGTCTGGCTGCACCAGAAAAGGGCATGCTGAGCGTGGGGGGGAGCCCAGCAGTCCACGGCACAAGCCTGCAGACAAGAACACAGCAGAGGTTAAGGCACGGCACAGAGGAAAGACCAAAGCTGCTTAATGTGAACTTGACAGAGAAGTAAAACACAGACTGGGTTGGGGGTCAGGGGAGAATGATCAAGAGCATCACCTCCAGGTTGTGTTTAGGTAGGCAAGCAGATTTTTTTTTTCCTACATTGCAAAGAGGTTTGGGCAGACCCTCAGCATCCACCAACCACAGGAAATCATCCTGTGGAGGAGGAGATCCCTGGAATGCCAGAGAGACTCCGGGGTGCTCACAGCCCAGCAGACCTCCTCTGTGGTCACCTCCCTGTGGCTGTGCCCAGCTGAGGAGCCAGGAGCCTGCTTCCAGCAGAAATCCAGCAGTGGTGGAAAGGATCCAGCACGTTTCAGCACCATGAGTTCCAGGTGCCAGCTGGATTTTCGCTGCTGCTCCCAGTAAGTTAACTGGGGCATGCACTACCCGTCAATACAATCGATGGAGCAGCCTCAGCCACTAATAAACTGAGTGCCAGAGGGCTGGAAAACCTCTCCACTGCCCAGAATATTCCCCAGGCAGCAGGGTGAGTGAGCTGCAGATCCCTTGCTTGAACTTGGTGCTGCTCTTAACGTGCTGGGGCACCTTATTAACAGGGAAATTGTTAAACAGGAATTGTTAACAGGGAAAACCTGCCTCTCCTGGTGACTCAGCAACCTCCGTGCTCATCCCCAGTGACCCCGGCACTTCCCTGCCATAGGAAGGAGCTTGTCAGTGGAAGGGGAGCCCATGGGACCTCCTGAGGTCAGTCTTCAGCCTGGCTGATGCTCATACAGCATCAGCACTATGGTCAGACCGGGTTGCCCAGGGCTTTATCCCTTTGGGGCTGAAAACCTCCAAGGATGGAGCATACACAGCCTCTCTCAGGAACCAGCTGTCCTCAGAATTCATGTTTTTTCTCTCAACAGTTCTCTCCATGTCCTCCAAGGTACTGGCTATGTCCCCAACTGGTGTCACCTACAAGCAGCACAGGTGCCAGGATGGACTCTGAGGGATTTCCCTGATCTCCACTGAGCCTACACCAGCCAGATAAATTTTAAATCCCAGTAACTTCTGCAATCGCAACACCCAGTCCCATGGGCTCTGGCCAAAAGGAAAAGCCTGGAAAAGACGGAAACCCCAAAGTGTGACTCACCGTTGGAGGACCCGCAGGGCCAGGTCAGGGACCCCGTGCAGTTGGTGGTCAGCAGTGCAGGAGGCAGGGAAGGATCTGGAAGACAGCACATGCTGAGAAGCCCACCTGGAATCCACAGAGCATCCTCCCAGCCCTGCTGCCGTGGCCAAGGGTAACACAGGGAACAGGGAAGCCCAGGGCCAAATCAGAGGAGTCCTTGGTAATTGTTTTATTCCAGTCAGTACCAATTGCTGGTCACTGATTCCAGGACTGATAACAAGAAGGGAAAATCCTCATCATGGCACCAGTCTCATCTACACATCCATGAAAAGGGAGCTCAGGCAAGCATTTGGCAATGCTGAAAGGACAAGGGGTTGCAAGGAAACCCCAATCCTTCTTCCCAGAGCCAGTGTGGGGACAAATCAACCTGTATCCCATAAATTCATGGGGGAAGAGACTTGTACTTATCTCCTGGGTCTTAGATTTGAGTTTTTCCCAAGGCAAGGCTTAGCATTCAGCAAACTCAGCATTAAGGAATTTTTTCGCAGTTTTCTTAAACAAAAATGGGTCCATCTTTCAGCAGCTCTGCTCCTTGTTATGTCCCATCCAGCACCTGCCACATAGCACCACAGTAGCTCCTTCCTCATCACTGACCAGTCCAAGGCACTCAGAAATTGTCTTAAAAGGTATCCTGAGATGGATAAACAACATTTGGGCTGCTGGGGGACTATCACCCTTGCCATTTCCCAAATCCTCTCTCCAACATGGCTAAAGGCCCTGCAGCTTGTGGCTGCCCCGACAGTAAAAGGAAAGGAACCAACTGAATTTTTTTTCCTGGTTGCTCTCTCCAGTGAAGCATGCATTTCCAGGAGAGGCAGCAGTAGGCTTCTCCCACCAAAAACCTTCCATCTGCTGATCCATGGCAGTGGAGAGCACAGCTCCATCCCTACACGGCCAGCTCGCCTGCTAGCTCTCATGGACTACGTCAGGAAATTTGGTCAGGAATGTTCAAAAGCATCACTCAGGATGCTGAAGGAGTCATTTCTCAACAGCAGAGTGCCCAAATCCCAGCAAAATCCCGCCTCTTGCTCCCAGAAAAAAAGCACCTGATGCAAGGAATTCCAACGCATCGAGATGTGACCAATCCCAAAAATCAGCCTCTGGAGACTACAGGATTTCACTGCCCTTAGCTCATCCCAGTGAGGCCACAGGGACCCAGGGGCTGGGCAGCACCCACAGCTTGATGACTCCCCCTGCACTGGAGCCCTTGGCCACTCCATTCCAGGGGGCTCGAAATTTGGTCTGGGATGGGAATAGAGGAAACACAAACACGTGGACAAATCTGGGGCCATCAGCAGAATGCCAAGGAGAAGGACTGAGGGTGGCTCCTTGCTCATGCCCATCTTCCAAGGTGAGCTGGTGGCACTTCCATGTGGGGGCAGCTCCCATGCCTGGTCCCACAGGGTTGTGAAAACTCCCTGCTCTCCTACCACCCCAAATACCACATCCCCTACTCCACACCACTCCCCTTCCCCAAAAATACCAAAGCCTGATGCGACACCCACCCTGCCTCTCCTGCAAACTCAGGACTTCAGCTTCCCCTCGCTGGTGAGTCCCTGGATTTTTGTGACCCTCAGGAACCTTCCTTGGGATGTCTGGGACCATGGGGCACACATGCAAGGTCCAAGCTCTGCAGAGAGCGTGGAGACCTTGGAGAGGTCCTATAGCTTTGCTGTGACCCTCCAGGGAAAATTCAAGGTCTTTTGGAAGGCATGCCGTGCAATGGTTGAGGGAGGGATGGGATGGGAATGGGAATGGCTGTGATGGGATGGGTGGTATGGGGATGAGACAGGATATGACGGGATGAGATGGATGGAATGGGGCAGGATAGGATGGGATGGGATGAGAGGAGATGGGAATGGAGATGGAATGGGATGGGATGGGATGGGAATGGGATGGGAATGGAGATGGGAATGGAGATGGGAATGGAGATGGGAATGGAGATGGGAATGGAGATGGGAATGGAGATGGGAATGGAGATGGGAATGG